TCATTTTTCTCTGCATGAAGGAAATGTGTGTCCTGGCGTTTATAAAATTTGATGGCATTTAGTTCGGGGGTGAGGCATCTGTACCATTTTATTAAAAGACGTGATTTTGTTATAGTTTGTATTGAATCTGTACCTAACATGGAGTTTAGATAAGAGTTTGACTGTCTTGTGTATGTTTGATTAAAGAAAATTGTAAAATGTCTGTAGCGGAGTGGTAGTATTACCAAGAAATGAACACGAGTGGGATAAATTTCAAATTATACTTTTTGATACTGTGAATTATTTCATCCACACTTAGTGTTGTGAATTGTTCTTGGCTTTAAAATTTGTTTAAATTATTTTACTGTTTTGTTGATGCATTGTGTTTCCTGAGCGGAGATGGAATTGTTTTACTTGAAGCCAAATGTTCGGTATGGTTTTTAAAAGATGGAGTGGTCGTGTATTTATTCTGTTGTTTGGCTTTGTTTTTCGTTGAAGTGTTATGAATTTACACACAATTAATTTATTCTTTTTTTTTGCCAGTAATTGGAGCTTAGTGCCATTTTGAGACATTCCTGTGTAGAGTTTAATAATTTGACGTTCTCAGTATTTGGTACTGACTGATAATTCTTTAATTCTGATAAGAAGCTTATCTCTTGAGTGGATTTATATGTCCCCTTGAAAGATGTTTATGATTAAGTTTTCTAGATACACTTGTCTTGGAATTTATAAAACTTGCTTAAGAGGTATTTGGATTCCAAGTTTTTGGTGGTTGCATCGGGGATATAAATTTTATTAACACAAATTTTAAGTGACTTTATTTGTGTTCGCAGATTAGCATCCAGTGGTCTGTATCGAACTTCATATTGCTACCTCTGTACCTCGGTGCATTCAGTTTATTGGTAAGTTTTCAATTAATTCAGGGTCAGATTGAATGTAATTTACGTGTAGTAAACATGTATATATAGTCAATCTTCTGTATAAAATGCAGGCTCTGCGGATTAAATGTGATCGGAGGTCGTTCTTTGAGGTACGATGACAAGTTAGCTCATTAGGCATACTAAACTACGTATTTCACTTGGGTTATGCGAGGATATAGAAAATTTAGATAGCTGTAAGCAGTAGTTTGACATCAGTAAAAAAATCTAATGCAGAAAATGTAGTTGTAGTCTTGTATAAGAGATTCTGGACAGAAGATGGCTGTCTTCTGGGTTGCGCCGTGTAGTCTGGTAAAAGTTTATCGACGTTGCCTCCATCATCAGGGCTATGAGTCACGTCTACCAGACTACACGGTGCAAGAACCCATCTTCAGTCTCACGGCTGTGAAAACCTCAAATACTAAATTTTCTGAACAGGAGGAAAAGAATTGCAATTTATTCCCAAAATTTGTATGACAATTTTTTTTATATCCGGTAGGTTTCATGTCGTAGAGAACAGGAATGTGTTTGTTTCCGTACTGTTGTGAAACCAGTATCATCTTGAAGAAGAGGACTTGGCTTTGGAACTTAACATGATTTTAAAAACAAAATGTTCTCTTCAGCTGTTTAATAATAATTTGTTAATGCAGGCGTAAGCTTAGCCGCATACCCAGGACATTCTCTATTTAAGGGCGTCTTCTGCGTTTGTTTCTGAAATTTTTGATGGAATATTTTGTACAATAAAACTACTTTTGTTCTCTGTTTTCTCCAAAATTATGGTTGAAATTTAGAGCATTAGTTTTGTTGTACTAAGAGCTGTAATTTCTGCCTTTTATCAGACGTTTTTATTAGTTATCAGTAATGTCTTTCATACGTTAAACTTCATGATTTTTTTTTTTTTTTTTTGGAATTGATGTTTGAATCTCTATTTTTGTATTGACACGTATATTTTACCATTTGTTTGTTGTTGTTGTTGTGGTCAGATTTGGTTGGTTCATCGTTTTTTTTAATCATTGTTCGACTGCAGGCATTGTAAATAAAAGCATCCCTCATCAGCGTTAGATATTTTAGTTTTAAGGGATGCGTGTTTATCGTTAACGATAAGATTTGCTTATTTACTCTTATCTGTTTACATTCTTATTCGCAGAAGATGTGAGTTTATTGCGATGTACCATACATATTTTTCATTGTTTATTACTAAAATGTAGGTACGTTTTCCTTCTCTACTGATGTAGCTTAAGGGAACAACTGTTTGTTGATAAAACCGCGTAGATCAGAATCTTTCGTGGCTGCTTAAGTATAAATAATTCTTCTCGGTCTACCACCTGACACGACTGGTAGCCCGAGAAGAATTCATTGTATAGATTGATCCAGTATTGCGGTGTGTTTATAGCCTATGTTGAAATACGCGTGTTGTTGATTGGTGGTTATTTTTTTAAGGTCACTATTTTACTTGACGTGAAACCGTATCGTAATCTTTAATTTAAGAAAATTTGTCGTTTCGTTAGATTTGTCAGTGTTTTAAGTACGATAGATTTTTCACGTTATTCGTGACGGGGCAGTTTTTAAATCTAGGTATTTGAAGCCGACGCTGGCCGGGTAGTATTTCGTACGTGAAAGAAAACATTTGGCCTTTGCTGTTTAAAGGAAATTTCCCTGTTTTTAGTAAAATCTTACGAAACTCCTACAAAAATGATTCTTTGTTGAAGTAGGTGTGATTCAGCAGTTACCATTGTACGAGGGTCGCTCATTAAGTAATGCCCCACATTTTTTTCCTCAGAACATATTTATTCAAGATGGCTCAAATTTAGTGACAATATAAATCAATGTTTCCTTTACACATACTATTTTTCCACATAGTCCCCATCAACTTGTACGGTTTTACGCCAGCGTGGAACAAGTGCATGCATGCCTTGCCGGTACCAGCTCTTGTCCTGTGCACGTAGCCATGTCCTCACTGCTTGAGCGCGGCAGATCACGGAGCTCGGTTTCTTCACTTCCTGAAGCTTTAACTCTCTTAGCCCAGCGACCAACGGGGCTCCTATCGACTGCACAGCTTCCATACACAGCACACAAACGTTTATGAATGTTCACCACCGTTTCTTTTTCAGCAACAAGGAATTCAATTACAGCTCGTTGCTTGTAACGAGAGTCGTTCACAGACGCCATTTTAACAGTTCACTACAGCTCCGCTATCGGTTGGAATCATTTGAAACTCCGTACACGAACGCGGGAAACATCAAATCTCAAGCATGTAAAAGTACACTTTTCTATCTTCATTATTGGCTGAGAAAAAAATGTGGGGCAATACTTAATGAGCGATCCTCGTACTTTAAAGGATTAAAAATATGATTGAAATGCTACGGCTATGTTGATTTCAGTTTGAAGTGTCAAGGAAATTGACTGATTGGTGTGTTTCGATGTTTTTTTTTCGTTTTTCGTTTTGCCGGGTTGCGTTGCATTGAGAGGAACTTACAGTAATTAGATGCCCCCCTCTCCTCATCCGAGTAACAGCGAGCAAGATGGGTTCGCGGATGGACCGGCGCTGTTAGTCGGATTTGTGACTTGGTGCGGGCGTGTTCCATGTGTCAGCTGTAGAGTACGATCGGCGTTACACTGTGATGCTGATATTTTTGCATTTATCCTCTGTGCTGTTCTTTGTATGTATGTGGGTTTTTGGTGTGATATAAAGTGCGTATGGCGATTTACCGCAGTTAAAATTTAATTTGAGCTCTGATATTTTTAAATTCTGCTGTGTGGAAGCTGTGATCTCTCCTGTGCTATACAGGTTTTGTGCTCCTTCACGCTATATTGACAAGCGAAACGTATACAGTATCGACATCTGGTTTGTGGTTGAGTTTTTGAAAATTTTGGGAGTGACACATTAGAAGAATGTAGACGTAGAACCCCCAAGTAAGAAACCCAAATTTGGTATGAAATTAATATAGGAGTACCAACAAGAATGAGAAAAAGAATGTTTAAAGTGAAATATTTAAATAGGTTTCGAGTAAAGGTAGTTTAGTTTTTACATCACTCCATCAACTGGTAACGTATGAAGCATGATGGATAGTAAAGGATGCGAAAGGAATCGATCGTGACCTCTAAGTTACGGGACTGAGAAAAATACAAAAATCGTGAGGATATTCCGATACTTTGGTCAAGCGCTCTATATGGACCGGTTCCCACATTATCGAAATGTTATAATTTGTATTTTTAATGTGAAGATAATTTAACTACTCCATCGGTTTCTGATTTTACCTGAAACCTAAACATAACGTATGCTGTAATAACGAGTTGCATATCGTTAGTTACACTCTACGGCAGTAGTATTCAAACTGGGGTACGCGAAATTTAAAAAAAATTATATTATTTTATGTTAAACACTATATAATCAGTAATGTAATGTATTTAATTTATTTTAGATATATATTATTTAAATCTTGTCCGTCTAATCACAATAAATTATTAAATATTAAAATATTACAAATTTAAAATATTTAAAATATTAAATGATGTTCTTTATCGAAATATTCGATTTACATTAGACCATCATTTTTCACGACATGTTTCAGTTCCTAAAAGAACTATCTTCAGGTGTATATAATTATATAAAGATTCAAATCAATAATAACTAAAATACAATTTCTATATATTATTATTTTGGATGTAGATTGTTTATAATTATTTTTGTGGTGAACACACTCGGTCTGACATTTAATTATTTATGGAAGTTTTATCCGCTACAGTGTTTAGTCATCTGATACCACTGTCTACGGTAAGTTTGGACTGAGAAGAGAGCAGTATTAAGCCACGGCTGCCGAGATTCTTGGCGTGCTCGCATCTCAAATAATAAATTATAATGTTATGTTTATGAATTTTACCACCAGTTTACATCCTACGTGTTAGGTAAAATTGCGACAAGTCGAAACATCGAAACGTTCCTATATTTAATATGATGAACGCTGCTTTTAAATGTATTTGTTCAGTGAGGATATTCGGCGGTTGTGCCTTGGGTATCGTAACGGCCGTGTTGTGTGCCACAGTCGTTGCTGTATCCGCCGAGCTCGTAGTTACTTTAATATCACAGCGTTTAATTTTTGGATTTAGTCGATAGTCTTTTAGGTGAAGAGGATTACAAAGTAGAAGATTTGGAGACCCTTCGAGAATGTTACCGTAATTTTGTGCGGTTATTTTCCTCTACGTTATATTTCGACGGAATTGCGTATGAAAGGGGCATCAGGTGGATGACATCACCAAGCTGGCACTCTAATAGTTGCTGTGCTCCGTGTGTGATATTTATATATATAAAAAAAAAAGACGGCACCTTCCAGAGGATTAATACTGGTCTCAGTGAGAAATAGAACTTTCATTTGAAACATTTTTCGTTGTGATGAATGTTTAATGAAATATAAGGCAAATTAATTTCTGACTATACAGTTTGTAACATATAAGATACTGGCTCTTACCAGTGACTCTTAAATTCGCGAGTCTGTCTATATTAAATTAAACTGTATATATAAAGGTCTTACTTGCGTAGTTGTTGGGCTGTAACTTGATGTTAACCAAATTGGTTTGTCCGCGAAACACATTGGGGTCTCGAGAAGTATTAGCGGAACCTCTAAACTGATTAGAAGCTCTCTCTCTCTCTGTGTAAAAGGAGTATCGAACAAGATCAGTTCTGTGGGCTGCGTAATTTTAAATAAGAGTGGATTGTTTTTCGTGTTTTATTTTGAATGGCTTTTATGTTTTATCGCAAATTCGCCGAATAATGGGAGTAAAACTTTGAATTATCACGATAAGAAATATTTTCTGTGGCAGTGTGGCTATAAGTATGCCTTTTATATAGGAATTTCGTGGCTAAGACGTAAGCAGAGAATGCTTATTGAATCAAAATTGCACGAGAAATTAATCCAGACAAGTTATCTGAATCACTCATTCAGCATAGAATTGGAAGGAACTTAGAAGTGTGGTAATGTACTGGCAAC